GTTGATACTCCTCACCTTTCGAGGGGCATGGATTCCTCAAATTATCTCTGTCCCTCCACTCATTTACATTATCTATCTACCCAATATATTTCATCTCCACTTATCTGTAACAATCTGTAACAATCAAAACTGCTACAGACAGTATTTTATTTATTTTTTATTTATTTATATTTTTGGAGATGGAGTCTCACTCTGTCACCCAGGCTGGAGTGCAGTGGCGCAATCTCAGCTCACTGCAGCCTCCACCTCCCCAGCTCAAGTGATTCTAATGCCTCAGCTTCCTGAGTAGCTGGGATTTCAGGTATGCGCCACCACACCCAGCTAATTTTCTGTATTTTTAGTAGACACGGGGTTTTACCATGTTGCCCAGAGTGGTCTTGAACTTCTGAGCTCAAGCAATCTGCCCGCCTCAGCCTCCCAAAGTGCTAGGATTACAGGTGTGATCCACTGCACCTGGCCAGAACATATTTTAGAATTAAAAAAACAAAAAACAATAAACAATTATGCTTCCTTTCAATACTGGATTTTCTAAACATTGCCTCAGTGCTTAGCTCCTCTGTAATCACCTAAGCAATTATATTTCCTTCATACAATTCTTTGTGTGCTATATAACTTTTTCAAAACCACTGGTTTTTCTTAGTTATCCTAAGTTCCAGAAAGAACAATGTTATAAATGTGGTATGTTCAGTCATAAAAAGGAGAATGAAACTATAGGAATTCTAACTTTCAACTAAAATGTTTGAACCAGAAACAGCAGTCTACCACAGATATAAACAGCTGAATTAAAAAGTAAGCTAGTTTTAGAATCTACTGCGAACAAAGTTCAAATTCCACAGGGAAAAAAAAAAAAATTCAAAGTAACAAGTCAAGGCCAGGCGCAGTGGCTCACACCTGTAATCTCAGCTACTAGGGATGCTGAGGCAGCAGAATAGCTTGAACCCTGGAGGGTGAAGTTGAAGTGAGCTGAGATCACACCACTGCACTCTAGCCTGGGCAACAGAGTGAGACTCCATCTCAGAATAATAATAATAATAATTCACTGCCTAGAAATACTTTGTGAATGCATCCTGTCTATTACCAGTTCGTTGCTTTTTTCTTGTTTGAGATGGAGTCTTATAGGCTGTATCACCCAGGCTGGAGTGCAGTGGTGCGATCTCAGCTTACTGCAACCTCCGCCTCCCCTGTTGATTCTCTTGCCTCAGCCACCTGAATAGCTGGGACTACAGGTGCATGCCACCACACCGGGCTAATTATTGTATTTTTAGTAGAGACAGGGTTTCACCATGTTGGCCAGGATGATCTTGATCTCCTGACCTTGTGATCCACCCGCCTTGGCCTCCGAAGTGCTGGGATTACAGGCATGAGCCACTATGCCCGGCCAGTTTGTTGCTTTTGGTGTCTGCTTTTCATTTTGTCCTGGGACTGATGTTTATATCACCCTAGAGGATTAAGGAGATGATGTTACTTAAGACGAGAAAGCCTCAGTGAAATCAAAGTTTAAGAGGCCGTGGAAACTAAATTGCTAATTAGCTAAATTGGAACTTTCTCTTAATGTAAGAGTGATTGGTAAAACATTATCCCAGAGAATGCTGTTATGAGTTCAAGAATTAGTATATTTATACTCCCTTAGCCACAACTGTTCCCTAATGGATCAAAATTATGCCACTGGATTTTAATTTACACTGACTTATTCTTTTTTTTTTTGAGATGGAGCCTTGCTCTGTCATCTAGACTAGAGTGCAATGGTGCGATCTCGGTTCACTGCAACCTCTGCTTCCTGGGTTCAAGTGATTCTCCCCACTCAGCCTCCTGAGTAGCTGGGATTACAAGTGAGTGCCACCACTTCAGCTAAATTTTGTATTTTTAGTACAGAAGGGGTTTTGCCATGTTGGCCAGGATGATCTCAAACTCCTTATCTCAGGTGATCCATCCACCACAGCCTCCCAAAGTGCTGGGATTACAGGCGTGAGCCACTGCACCCAGCCTTGACTTCTTTATTTTTATTTTAATTAATTTTTTTTATTTTGGCTGGGCGCATATATATAATATCTCTCAACCAAACAACTGAGGAAAATGTACTATCGCCATCATTTCACCAGTAATAGTGGCTCACTCACTAGCAGTCTGAGGAGGTGTACATAAGGTTAGATGTGTGTGAGAATGAATAAGATTGCAGGAGATCACAGGAAATTAGTATAGTTGTGACACCTACTACCACCACCCACATACCTGGACATTTACTCTACTGGGAATTTCCAGGTAGCACAGAAGCTGAGAAGTTTAGCTGCTTAAATTTCAAAACAGAATCCCCTAAATTAATCATCACTGACAGAAATGAAGAATTCCACTATATTCCTGACATTGTTATTCCTTATATTGGTCATTTTACTTGTTTTCTAGTTGCTACAAAAGCTAAAAAAAAAAAAACAAAATACAAAAGCCCTCAGATAAGCTTAGGCCACGAGGGGGGGCTCACATCTGTAATTCCCAGTACTTTGGGAAGCCGAGGAGGGGGAGGATCACCTGAGTCCAGGAGTTTGAGACCAGCCTGGCCAACATAGTGAGACACTCCCCCACCCCCAACCATCTCAATTAAAAAGAAGAAGAAAAAAGAAAAAAGAGAAAAACTTACATGTGTTTTACTAATGCAGAGAAACGGGGAAATTTTTTAGACCTTACCCTCCATTACTTACAGACAAACTTTTAAACCCTTTTCCCATAGTAATTAAAATCTTACTAATTTAGTCACAGCCTTTCTTAGCACGATTTCCCAAACCCAGTTCAGGCAATGTCCTGTACTTTTTTGTACTTTCCTGCCTCAGTGCACTTTCACTTTGTGTTGTGCATCCTGGTGTGCCATTTCCTGGCCTCGTGGAATCTTTTTCAAGAACAAAGTCAAATGTTATCTGCAATGTGAAGCCTGACTCCCAAAGGCAGTTACTAACTGGCAACTCTGAAGTCTCCTAAAACGTTCATCTCCCCTATTTCTTGAGTGCAGAACTCTGCCTTATTCATAAGAGGCCTTAGAATCCCGTCCGGTAGCTGACTTAATAATGTTTGAACGAATAAACCCTGTTCCATTCACTAGAAGGCTCGATTCTGGGTACAACGGTAGGGGTAGAAATGGATCAGAAAGTATAGAGCTAGAAACCTAAAACCAACAAGACAAAAGGAAAAATGTGAACTATATGAGCCACACTTTAAAAAAATGTGCATTTGTGTATTAAGCAAGTGGCACGAATCCCGGGACTCCGTTGTTATTTGATGGGTTGCCTCTCCCTGTTAACTACCTGCAGAGTACTGATCATTTGATTGCTCTGATGTCATTCATTTTGGCTTTAATAATTTAAAGAAGCTCATCTGGACGAAACAGAAAACTTACCTTGAGTTATCGCCCATACAATGATTTCCAGTAAATTAATGAGCTTCCCTCCAACATCACACACTCTTTCAAAAGGATAAATAAACCTAACACCATAATAGTTTAAATACACTACCTGCAAGAGTAACGATTCCTCTGGGTTGAGGCTGAAACCGCAAATATTTGTTACAAAAGTCGGCAGATTCTAGGGCCAAAAACAAAACATTGCCCAAAAAGTAACCCGCTGTTTGGCCCACCGAATTGCAAGTAGAAGCATAACCCACATTTTCCCTGGATAACATAGTTAACGCCCAACCATCGACAGCAATGTCCTGAGTGGCGGCCAAGAATTCAAACAAAAAGAATGCCACAGTGAGAGCAATCACGTCGGGTGTCCTGCCTTCGGTATTCCCAAGCAAACGGTCCACCTGAGTGGATAAATATATCATGAAGAGTCCTAGTATATACTGTGTCGGGACAAGCCAAGATTTGCGACGACCGAAGTTCTTAACGTAGACAGCATCCACCAACGGGGCCCAGAGTAATTTGAGACTGAAAGGCCAAAAGACAAAACTGAAGAAAGCTTGGTCTGTATAGCTAACATTTTTGCTTTGCAAAATGAGTGGGATGCTTCCCGCCAAGCCCAAGGGAATACCCTGAAGCACGTAAAGAAAGAGTAGCAGCAAAATGCTGCTTAGTTCCGCCCGGAAGCTCCGTGGGGCTTTTAAGAAGTCGCCAGTGCCGGTATCCCCCAGAAGAGCTTCTCTGTCCCCTTCTCGGCCCGCTGAGTCCAAATGACTGTCATCCCAACCGCCCGGAGGCAGGGGACCGCTCTTCATATCCAAAGAGTGACTGAAATTCCCTGGCCGCCGTTGCCGGCTGCTGTCCTTGTGGGAGACGGTGGGTGACATATCAGAGACGATGCAGAGCCCCGTCTGTGGGGGGCCGGGGCTGAGCGTTTTGGATCCGTCCAGTCCCAGGTCCAAGGCTGTCGCGCTGGACCAGGGTTTCGGTGGTTCACGGGATGGTGGCAGGGCTCAGGGCGATAAGGGCACTTCTTACTGCAACCCAGAGTGCTGAAGCCGGGAGCCAGTCCTCTGGCTAGAAGCCCAGAGGATGCCTGGCTAGGTGCCCCCTGGAACGGCGTCAAGAAGCCTGAAGGAGACCCCCGGGCAGTCGCTCCGGGCTCAGGGCTGGAGGTGTGTGCCGTGGTGCCGCGATGGAAACCAGCTCCTACCTGCGGCGGGACCGAACGGCTGGTCTCCCGACCCAACACCTCCAGCTCTCGCCGACACCAGTGCGGCAGAGAGCACTTTCTCTACAAGACTCCAGAAAACGCATGTAACTTCCTGCCTCGCGCTTCAGGAAGTGGTCCCAGTCTCTAACACGTCCCTTCCCAACCTCCAGAGCAAGCCAATCAGGAACACGCTCTTGTGGCCCAGTTCGGAAACAATGCTTGGTGGGAACCTGCAATCTTGGCGGCCGGAACTTTCGGGGAGGATTAACGCCGGCGCACCGTGCGGCCGGGGCGGGGCACCGCCCAAGCTCGGGCTCTATGACAGCGCCTATGGCAGTCTGGAAAGCGTGGGCCTCGGTCATTGGGCACGAGCGGTCACGTGACAGTGGGTTCCTCCAGGCCTGCGCTGGTGGTTGAGTGATGTAATCACGCGGAGTCTGAGGTCTCCGTGAGTGTAGGTTTCGTCGTTGTGCTGATGACAAGCAGTGCCCGAACTCTAGGCTGGGAATTGTGCCAGGCTGCTGCTTTCGTGGCTGACCAGAAAAGGGCAGAAGGATTGAAGTTTACGAAGTTTTTGAATCAGGAGGCAAAGTCGCCTTGTGCTCCAAAAAGGGTAGAAAAAGGCCTGGCTAACTGGAGAATCGCGTCCTTACGGTGCCTGCATATTTATGATACGAATTAAGCTGCTCAAGGGGTGCTAGGTTTGTCTGCAGTCCATTTATCCCTCCTGGTGGAAGACGCGTAGGGAAACTTGGTAACCAACTCTAATTACATTGGTGATTGGATGACTCCTTACATCCTCTATATTTATGTTGCAATAAAACGTCTTGTGGCTGGGCGCGGTGACTCACGCCTGTAATCCCAGGACTTTGGGAGGCTGAGGCGGGCGGATCACCTGAGATCGGGAGTTCGAGATCAGCCTGACCAACATGGAGAAACCCCTTCTCTACTAAGAGACGCACAGGAATTTGAGAATCTGATTTTTTTTTCTGCCCTCTCACCTCTGGCAGAAAGATTATTATTATTTTTATTTATTTATTTATTCATTTTGAGACGGAGTCTCACACTGTCGCCCGGGCTGGTGTACGGTAGGGCGATCTCGGCTCGCTGCAGCCTCCACCTCCTGGGTTCAAGCGATTCTCCTGCCTCAGCCTCCCGAGTAGCTGGGGCTACAGGCGCGTGCCACCACGCCGAGCTAATTTTTTGTATTTTTAGTAGAGATGGGGTTTCCCCGTGTTGGCCAGGATGTTCTCAATCTCTTGATCTCGTGATCCACCCACCTTGGCCTCCCAAAGTGCGGGGATTACAAGCGTGATGGCAGGCCAGGCGCGGTGGCTCAGGCCTGTAATCCCAGCACTTTGAGAGGCCCAGGCGGGCAGATCACTTGAGGTCAGGGGTTCGAGACCAGCCTGGCCAATATGGTGAAACCCCGTCTCTACTAAAAATACAAAAATCAGCCGGGCGTGGTGGCTCACGCCTGTAGTCCCACATACTAGGGAGGCTGGGACTGGAGAATCGCTTGAACCCGGGAGGTGGAGGTTGCAGTGAGCCGAGATCCCGCGGTTGCACTCCAGTCTGGGCGTCAAAGAAAAGAACAGTGTCATTTAAGTCCAGTCAGGATTCAGCCCAAACAATCATGAGTGGGATTTAGATTGTGCTGGATTAAAACCCTGGCTCTAACAGTAGTTGTACCTTGGACAAATTACTTAACCTAAGCCTCCATTTTGATGAAAATAAAATAGAGTTCATAACATCTATTTCAGAGAGTTGTGGGAGTTAAAACAAGCAGCCAATAAAGCCATGCACAATCAGTAGGTGTTTCCCCCCCAAAAAAGGAAATATTTGATGAGTTTGTATGTCTCATGTTTGATTTTTTTCCCCTTCTTTAATCTGAAATAATTATAGATTCACAGGAAATTGCAACTAGAGCAGAGTCCCATGTACCCTTCACCTACCTTCCTCTGATCATAGCCTCAATACAGTACAATATTAAAACCAGGAAACTGACATCTGTAAAATATTGTTAACCAGACCACAGGCTTTATTCCAATTTCACCAGTTTTTACATGCACTAGCTTGTTTGTGTGTGTGTATGTGTGTGTGTCCCCTGTGTCACCCTTTTATAGTGCTATCCCTTATAGTACTTACTACACATTGTTAGTTGCACCAGTCCACTGTCCTCCTCCCTGTTCTTTGGCAATCACTAATTTGTTCTCCACAGCTATACTTATGTCATTTCAAGAATATTATAAAAATTGAATCATATAGTATGCAACTTTGGGGATAAAATTGAATCATATAGTATGCAACTTTTTTTTTCATCCACCAAAATGTCTTTGAGATCCATTTAAGATGGTAATATATCAGTATCAATGTTTGTCCGTCTTTTTTTTTTAAATCACAGAGTAGTAGTACATTGTATTGATATCAAATGTTTTTTTTTTCTCTCTCTCTCTTTTGAGATGGAGTTTCGCTCTGTCACCCAGGCTGGAGTGCAATGGTGTGATCTCGGTTCACTGCAACCTCTGCCTTCCGGGTTCAAGCAATTCTCCTGCCTCAGCCTCCCGAGTAGCTGGGACTACAGGTGTGTGCTATGGTGTCTGGCCACATCAGATTTTAAATAAGGAATCTTCTTGCAAATAATTGATTTCTCCCTACATATAAGAGTGATTCCCCCTTTAGTGGTTAAATGATCTTCCTATCAAATGTTAAATCTTTACATCTATGCAGGCAAGATTTACAAACAATAGGAAAAATTACTGGAGCCAAGTATCAGGAAAAGTGTTTTTCATGTTACCCCAATTCAATATGCATGCATTATTAAAGTGATAGGTGGGCCAGGGGCAGTGGCTCATGCCTGGAATCTCAACACTTTGGGAGGCCAAGGCAGGTGGATCACTTGAGGTTAGGAGTTCAAGACCAGTGTGGCCAAGATGGTGAAACCCTGTCTCTACTAAAAACACAAAAATTAACTGGACGTGGTGATGCATGCCTGTAATCCCATCTACTTGAGAGGCTGAGGTAGGAGAATCGCTTGAACTTCGGAGGTGGTGGTTGCAGTGAGCCAAGATTGTGCCACTGCACTCCAGTCTTGGCAAGACAGTGAGACTGTCTCAAAAAATAATAATAATAAAATAATAAGGCTGGGTGAGGTGACTTACGCCTGTAATCTCAGTACTTTGGGAGACTGAGAGGGGCGGATCACCTGAGGCCAGGAGTTCAAGACCAGCCTGACCAACATGGAGAAACCCCGTCTCTACTAAAACTACAAAATTAGCCGGGCGTGGTGGTTCATGCTTTTAATCCCAGCTACTCAGGAGGCTGAGGCAGGAGAATTGCTTGAACCTGGGAAGTGGAGGTTGCGGAGGGCCGAGATCATGCCATTGCACTCCAGCCTGGGCAACAGGAGCGAAACTCTGTCTCAAAAAATAGAAAAGAAATAAAATAAAATAACAAAATGATAGGGGAGAAAACAACCTTAGGAAATAATTAGCATTATTTGTAAGGTATAGAAAATACCTATAAATAGTTTTATACATAATGTATATAATATCTATTTTTTCCAATGGATAACAATAATTAAATGCTAAAAACAAAAACCAGAACTCTTTAATTAAAAGTAAATATACCAAATTTTACACCTTTTAAGAAATGAAACATGTTATTGCTGGTATTTCATTCCATTCAAGCTTTTAAAGGAAAAATACCACAGACTTGGTGGCTATTTTTTTTTTTTTTTTTTTTTTTGAGACAGAGTCTCCCTCTGTCACCCAGGCTGCAGTGCAGTGGCGCAATCTTGACTCACTGCAACCTCCGCCTCCCGGGTTCAAGCAATTCTCCTGCCTCAGCCTTCCGAGTAGCTGGGATAACAGGCACGTGCAACCACGCCTGGCTAATTATTTTTGTATTTTTAGTAGAGACAGGGTTTCACCACGTTGGTTAGGCTGGTCTCAAACTCCTGAACTCGTGATCCACCCGCCTTGGCCTCTCAAAGTGCTGGGATTACAGGTGTGAGCCACCGCGCCCGGCCTTGGTGGCTTTTAAATAACAAATTTATTTCTCACACTTCTGGAGGTTAAGTCCAAAATCAAGGTTCTAGGAAATTCAGTGCTGGTATGGTCTTCCTTCCTGGTTCCTAGATGGCCATCTTTTTTGCCGCCTTCTCATTGTGTCCTCACATGGCAGAAGGGGTGAGGGAGCTCTCCAGGGTCTCTTTTACAAGGGCACTAATCTCCTTCATAAAGGCTCTACCCTATGACTTAATTTCCCAAAGGCCCTACCTCCAGATGCTGTCACATGGGGGATTAGGTTTTAACACATGAATTTTGGGGGACAGAAACATTCAATCTATTATATTCTGCTCCTGGACCCCCACCCCCCAACTCATGTCCTTCTTACATACAAAACACTTTCATTCCATTCCAATAGTCCAAAAAGTCTTAATTTGTTTCAGCATCAACTTCAAAGTCTAAATCCAAAGTCTCATCTAAATTACATCCAAATCAGATCTGGGTAAGACTCAAGGTACAATCCATCCTGAGGCAGATTCCTCTCCAGCTGTGAACCCATAAAACCAAACACGCTATGTGCTTCCAAAATACAGTAGTTGGACAGGCAGAGGATAGATATTCCTGTTCTGTTAGGGAGAAAGAAGAAGGAAGAAAGGGGCAACAGGTCCCAAGTAAGTCCAACTACATGAGATCTTAAGGCTTGAGAATAATCCTCTTTGACTTGATATGCTTCCTTCTAAGCCTACTGGGATGAAGGTCCCACCTTCTGGACCCATTGGTAAGAGGTCCTGCTCTTACAGCTCTACCAAACAGGAATCTCACCGCCAGGGCTATGCTAGGCAACCCTGCTGCAAAGGCTCTCATAGCTCTCATAGACTACAGATGCACACCACCATGCTCTGCTAATTTTTTATATTTTTAGTAGAGATGGGGTTTCACCATGTTGGCCAGGCTGGTCTCGAACTTCTGACCTCAGGTGATCCGCAGGCCTCGGCCTCCCAAAGTGCTGGGATTACAGGTGTGAGCCACTGCATCCGGCCTGGGAGATGTTTTTCTTAATGTGACACTATATACACAATGTCCTGTGCCTTGCTTTTTCATTTTCCTTAAACATGTATCAGAAAAATCTTTTGATATTACAACCTACAGAACCATTTCTTTTAACAAGACTTTATACTATTCAATTATAAGGATGTGTCATCTATTTAATCAGCCTCCTATTATTTCTAGTGTTTCATTGTAAACAGTGCTGAATATATTTGTGGGTAGTTGTCGTTGTTGTTGTTTGAGATGGGCTCTTACTGTTACCCAGGCTGGAGTGCAGTGATGCAATCCCATGGCTCACTGTGGCCTCAACCTCCCTGGGCTTTTGGCTTAACAATTCTGTCTTTAAATCATTTCTCTCTTCTTGCATTTTACTATAAGCAGTCAGGAGGAACTAAGCCACATCTTCAACACTGCTTAGAAATGGCTTCAGCTGGCTGGGTGCGGTGGCTCACGCCTGTATTCCCAGCACTTTGGGAGGCCAAGGTGGGCAGATCACCTGAGGTCAGGAGTTTGAGACCAACCTGAACAACATGGTGAAACCCTGTCTTTACTAAAAATACAAAAATTTACCTGGGCATGGTGGTGGGTGCCTGTAATCCCAGCTACTCGGGATGCTGAGGCAGGAGAATTGCTTTAACCCGGGAGGCAGAGGTTGCAGTGAGCCGAGATCACACCATTGACTCCAGCCTGGGCAACAAGAGTGAGACTGTCTCAAAAAAAGAAAGAAAGAGAGAGAGAGAGAGAGAGAGAGAGAGAGAGAGAGAGAAGGAAGGAAGGAAGGAAGGAAGGAAGGAAGGAAGGAAGGAAGGAAGGAAGGAAGGAAGAGAAAGAAAGAAGGAAAGAAAGAAAGAAAGAAAGAGACAATTGTAGACGTATTTTAAAACCACCAGCCTGGGAATGAGTGAACCATTTCAATTAATCTGAAGATAAAAATCATTCTCTAGTTCAGGGAAGTTTTATTCTATTATCTTAGCAATTATATGTAATAATTTATCTGGAGGTTTGGTTTGCTTTGATTTAATTTGATTGAGGCAGGTCCTCCCTCTGTCACCCAGTCTGGAATGCAGTGGCGTGATCACGGCTCACTGCAACCTCAACCTTCCAGGCTCAAGCAATCCCCTACCTCAGCCTCCCAAGTAGCTGGTACTACAGGCATGCGCCACTATGCCCAGCTAATTATTTTATTTCTCTGTAGAGATGGAGTCTCCATATATTGCCTCTGGTGATCTTGAACTCCTGGATTGAGGCAATACTCCCCCGTCGGCCTCCAAATGTGCTGGGATTATAGGTGTAAGCTACTGCATCTGGTCTCTGCAGATTTTTAAGGTTTCTTCTTTTTTCTTTTTTGAGACCAAGTCTTACTCTGTCACCCAGGCTGGAGTGCAGTAGTACAGTGACATGATCTCAGCTCGTTGCAACCTCCACCTCCCAGGTTCAAGTGATTCTCCCACCTCAGCCTCCTGAGTAGCTGGGACTACAGATGTGCACCACCACACCCAGCTAATTTTTGTATTTTTAGTAGAGATGGGGGGCCAGGGTTGGGGGGTCTCACCATGTTGGCCAAGCTGGTCTCAAACTCCTGACCTCAGGTGATCCGCCCAACTCGGCCTTCCAAAGTGCTAGGATTACAAGCGTGAGCCACCATGACTGGTTCCCTTCCCTTGAATTTATACATGACTGACCAACAGAATACAGCTGAGATGATGCTGGGTTAATTTCCAGGCCCAAGTCTTAAGAAACTGGAAGTTTTCACTTTCTTTCTCTTGAGATACTCACTCCTGGAACTGAGTCCCATGAACTAAGGGAAAGACTATGTGGAAAGAAACTAAGACCTGCAGCTTGCAGCACTGAGTGAGCTCCCAATCAACAGCCCCAAATTGCCAGCAATATGTGTGAGCTATCTTGGAAGAGAATCCTCCAGCCCCAAGTTGAGCTGCCCCTGTTAATGCTAAATGAAGAGTAGAGACAAGTATTCATTGCTAAGCCATGCCCAAATTGCTATTGTCTTCTTAGAAGACTTAGTGGTAGTATCTTTCCAACACAAACTAAAACATTTCTCTACAAACCTGGGAACCCACCCCCACCAGGCTCTCAGTGTCCCTCAGCAAATGTGGAACAAATGTCACTATCACTATAAAAACAAAACTGATACTGCATGGGACCTTCAGCCCATACTGTCAAGAATAACTGTTTTTGTTTTTGTTTTTGTTTTTTGCATTTTCAACTCCCCTTACTCACTTCAGTTAATATCATTTCCCCTTTTCTTTGGAATACCGGTGTTCCCTGATTCATGTGTCTTGGGGAAGCTGGTGAAACTGCCAAACATAAAACCCTTCTGGTGGTAGCCATGATCCTTTCTTGCTTTTTTTTTTTTCTTATCCCTTTATAGGTATCCTGTGTTTTCCAGTTGAACGCTTGTGAAAATTCGCTTTATCCTTGAAGTTCAGAATTTTCACCAGGATGTATGATGGTATGTATTGTATAATACATGTATGTTTTTCTGGTAATCTCGTTCAACATTTATTAGGTCTTTTTGAACAAAGTTTCAAATCTTTCTTGATTTTAGAGAAATTTTCCTTAATAATACCTTTGATTTTTCATTCTTTCCTCTTCATTAACTCCCCCTAAAAGTCCTAGTAAACTTATATTTTGTTTACTGGATTTACCCCTTAAGCTTTCTCTCATAATTTTCCATTTTCTTTTTGCTCTATATTCTTAGAAACTTCCAAACTAGGTCCTTCAGAAACAAATTGAAACTGCACAGTTAAAATTTCTGCATTTCAAAATACATAAGAGTTTTATCTCAAAAAACAAACAAACAACTATAAAAAACTATTTACATGGGGACTGGTGGTTATGGAGGTTTGAATTTAAAATGGCGGATTATCAAAGGCTATTGAAGCTTGGTGATAGGTACACCGAGGGTTCATATGAGACCATTCTGTTTATTTTGTACATATTTAAAATTCTGCATACAGGAAAATAAGAACAGAAACAACAACAAAAACCTCAAAGCAGGTTGGGCACAGTGGCTCATGCCTGTAATCCCAGCATTTTGGGAGGGTGAGGTGGGTGGATCACCTGAGTCACGAGTTCGAGACCAGCCTGGCCAACATGGTGAAACCCCATCTCTACTAAAAATACAAAATTAGCTGGGCATGGTGGTACATGCCTGTAAACTCAGATACTTAGGGGGCTGAGGCAGGAGAATTACTGAACCCAGGAGGTGGAGGTTGCAGTAAGCCAAGATCAGGCCATTGCACTCCAGCCTGGGCAACAAGAGCAATACTCCATCTCAAAAAATAAACAAACAAATTGGTTAACCACCACTATTAATGCTGCTATTCGGTCTGTTTCAGAAACAGAACAAATCCGAAAGAGATAATTTTACTAGAAGGATATTTATGGCCTCCCAGAATCAGTGGAAGGCCAGGACACCTGGCTTAGCAAAAACACAAAAATCAAGGTGACACATACATCAGGAATTACAGCAATAAACTTCAAGAACATTTTTCAAAAAACTACTCCACTGCCATGCCTGTGATGTCTTCGCTTCAAAGTTTTCTAGGCTCTATTACAAAAATTAATACCACCATCTAGTGGACCCTTCGTATACCTATGTCTGATTGTGGATTTCTTCTCTAGTTTTCCAATCATTTCACTAAGATCTGAACAGTATCTTCTGTATATTCCTCAGAATTTTAAAATTGTTTATTTTTGAGGTGGGAATCAGGTTTATTGAGGTATAATTTATATCCAGTAAAATTGGCCCTTTTTAGTGTACAGTTTTATGAGTTTGTTTTTTGTATGTGTTTTTTGTTTGTTTTGTTTTGTTTTGTTTTTGAGACAGTCTTGCTCTGTCGCCCAGGTTGGAATACAGTGGCGTGATCTTGGCTCACTGCAATCTTCGTCTCCTGGGTTCAGGCAATTCTCCTGCCTCAGCCTCTTGAGTAGCTGAGATTACAGGCGCCTGCCACCTGACCTGGCAAATTTTGTATTTTTGGTGGAGGCTGGGTTTCACCATGTTAGCCAGACTGGTCTCCAACTCCTGACCTCAGGTGATCCACCCGCCTTGGCCTCCCAAAGTGCTGGGATTACAGGTGTGACCCACGGCGCCTGACCTTTTGTTTTCTTTTGAGAGAGAGTCTCACTCTGTTGCCCAGGCTGGAGTACAGTGATGTGATCTTGGCTCACTGCAACTTCCGTCTCCCAGGTTCAAGCAATTCTCATGCGCCAATCTCCAGAGTAGCTAAGACTACAGGCGCATGCCACCACACCTGGCTAATTTTTGTATTTTTAGTGGATATGGGGTTTCGCCGTGTTGGCCAGGCTGGTCCTGAACTCCTGACCTCAAGTGATCTGCCTGCCTTGGCCTCCCAAAGTGCTGGGATTACAGACGTGAGCAACCATGCCTGGCCCTATGAGGTTTTTGGGTGTTTTTGTTTGTTTGTTTGTTTGTTTGTTTGTTTGTTTTTAAAATTTCCATAGATTTAAGCAAGGCACGGTGGCTCACACCTGTAATCCCAGCACTATGGGAGGCCGAGGTGGGCAGATCACTTGAGGTCAGGAGTTCTAGACCAGCCTGGCCAACATGATGAAACCCCATCTCTGCTAAAAATATAAACGTTAGTGGAGCATGGCGGCGCACACCTGTAATTCCAGTTACTCGAGAGGCTTAGGTGGGAGGATTGCTTGAACCCGGGAGGTGGAGGTTACAGTGAGCCAAGATTGCACCACTATACTCACGGCTTGGGATACAGAGCGGGACTCAGTCTCAAAAAAAAAAAAAAAAGTTTTTTTCATAGGTTTTTGGGGGAATGAGTGGTGTTTGGTTACATGAATAAGGTCTTTAGTGGTGATTTCTGAGATTATGGTGCACCCATCACCCGGTTCTATGAGTTTTCATAAATGTTATAGAACCACCACCACAATCAAGATATGGAATAGGTCTGTCAACTCCAAAAAGTATGTACCCTTGTGCCCATCTGAAGTCAACCTCTCCACCCATTCCCCAACCTCTGGTAACCACTGATCTGTTTTCTCTTCCTATAGCTTTGCCTTTTCCAAAATATCATGTAAATGGAATCATACAAAGTGTACCTTTTGAGTGTGTCTTCTTTCAGTCAGCATAATGCATTGAGATTCATTGATATCGTTGTCCCATATCCCCACCTCCTTCATTTTTTCTCCCCACTAATGTTTCATTGTATGGATGTGCCAGAGTGTGTTTATCTACTGACCAGTTGAAGAACATTTGGATTGTTTCCCATTTTTTATGAGTAATTTCACTATAAACATTTGCATACAGGTTTTTGTGTAAACATATCTTTTCACCTCTCTTGGGCAAATACCTAGCAATAGGATTGTTAGGTCTTATTGATACCAGTGGGTTAGGGGAGGTCCCCAAATGCCAGTGGGGCCTCAACCCCAACCAGTCTCCAGGCTCTTGACACCTTCCCAAGAAGCAATTCAAGGATTAGTTGGAAGATAATGAAAGTGAAACCGTCACTGCGAGATTATAACTGACACAGTGAAAGAGGTCTGACCTGACCAACTCCATCTTGCCTCTGACCATCAAGCCGTCCTAGTTCATTCCTGGGTGTGGGACAAACTTTAGGAGGAACTTAGTTTATAGTTTGAGGCAGAGATGATAACAGCCTTTTCCCAAAACAAATCCCCTTCTTGCCTGGGGACTAAACTGCCTTTGTAGTACTAACGTATTAGTCAAAAGATTATAAATTATGGCTTAGGAGTCATGCATCTGGAGGCTACAAGATTCTGACACTCCCTAAATTGCTCTTGGGGATAAAAATCACTCTGAGAGGCTGGGTGTGGTGGCTCACGCCTGTAATCCCAGCACTTTGGTAGGCCAAGGTGGGCAGATCACATGAGGTTGGGAGTTTGAGACCAGCCTGACCAACATGGAGAAACCCCATCTCTACTAAAAATACAAAATTAGCCGGGTGTGGTGGCACATGCCTGTAATCCCAGCTACTTGGGAGGCTGAGGCAGGAGAATCACTTGAACCCAAGAGTCTGAGATTGTGGTGAGCTGAGATGGTGCCACTACACTCCAGCCTGGGCAACAAGAGTGAAACTCTGTCTTAAAAAATAAATAAATAAATAAATAAAAGAAATAAAACACTATTATAAAACCTAAGACCAGTGCTTGGGATATTTTGCAGACCCCGTCCTCGATGGATCAGCCGGCACCACCCAGATAGATAAATTGGCTCATCTGATCTTGTGGCCCCCATCCAGGAAGTGACTCAGTGCAAGAAGACAGCTTTGACTCCCTGTGATTTCATCTCTGACCTGACCAATCAGCACTCTCAGCTCACTGGCTTCCCCCCACCCACCATTTTTTGTTGTTGTTGTTTGTTTGTTTTTGAGACCGAGTCTCGCCCTGTCGCCCAGGCTGGAGTGCAGTGTTGTGATCTCTGCTGACAGCAACCTGCGCCTCCCGGGTTCAAGTGATTCTCTTCCCCTAGCCTCTCAAGTAGCTGGGATTATAGGTGCATGCCTTCATGCCTGGCTAATTTTTGCATTTTTAGCAGACACAGCATTTCACCATTTTGGTCAGGCTGGTCTCAAACTTCTGACCTCGTGATCTACCCTCCTCAGCCTCCTGAAGTGCTGGGATTACAGGCGTGAGCCACTGCGCCCAGCCAATTCGTTCTTAAAAACTTAATGCTTAGGGAGACTGATTTGAGTAGTAATAAAACTCTGGTCTCCCACACAGCCGGCTCTGTGTGAATTACTCTTTCTCTGTGGCAATTCCTGTCTTGATAGATTGACTCTGTCTAGGCAGAGGCCAAGGTGAACCCACTGGGCGGTTATAAAAGTATGGAGGTTTATTGCAAAGAGAAAATTACACATTCAAGAAAGGGGAGTGTGAACATACTCGAGAGTCACACAGCCCGATTTGAGGTTTTTATCTTTGTAGATTTCTTTAACCAAGGAATGGAATATTCATAAAGAATCCTGGAAAAATGTGGAGATTTCTCAGAACTGTGGTGCCATTTTTTAACCAAATATGGGACTGTCATGGCACTGGTGGGTGTGTGATTTAGTATGTTAATAAGTGTATAATTAGGTCCTAGGTGAAACCTAGGTCAAATCCAGCACCATGTTATGTCCTGTCAGCCTTAGTGAGTTTGGCCCACACCCTGGTTTTTAGAGTCTTATCAGCCTCTACCTTATGCAAATATTTTAACAGTTTTTTTCCTTGTTACGTGAAACTGCTGCCTGGAATTATTAAATTTTTCTGCAACCACCCTGTATTATGCCTGTCTCATTTTCCCGTCTCAGAGATGACTACTTTTTATTTTTCCAGATTGATGAGGGAGGAGGTCAATCTTACGTATTTACTTTCTGTTGAATGGGGCATTGGCCCTGCCTATCGAGGGTATGCAAATCTCTGGCTGCTTGGTCTGAGGGTCCCAAGGGTGGAGCATCAGGAGAGTCTGAATATGAGGCAGGGATTGGCTGCAATCTCTGTATGACCATTATTTTGGCATTGAACTACAGCAACCTAGAAGACACAGACTTTACAAGGAGGTTAAACAAATAAGGACCAAAGATTAGTAGTAATAAGATAGTTATTAAAGATCCTAGGAAAGATAGGAATTATGTCACACTTAGTAGGTATCCTTTGATGAAGTCCCAGATGGTTGGAGTAGTGGAGCTATTGAAATTATGTAGCCAGGGCCGGGTGCGGTGGCTCAAGTCTGTAATCCCAGCACTTTGGGAGGCCGAGATGGGCGGATCACTAGGTCAGGAGATTGAGACCATCCTGGCTAACACGGTGAAACGCCATCTCTACTAAAAAAAAAAAAAAACAAAAAAACTAGCCGGGTGAGGTGGTGGGTGCCTGTAGTCCCAGCTACTCGGGAGGCTGAGACAGGAGAATGGCGTGAACCCAGGAGGCGGAGCTTGCAGTGAGCCCAGATCGCACCACTGCACTCCAGCCTAGGCAACAGTGCAAGACTCTGTCTCAAAAAAAAAAAAAAAAAGAAAAGAAATTATGTAGCCAGGTAGCCTTTTGGTAAATATTTTGAATTTGTAGTTTAATACTAGTTTAACTAGTTTAATATTAGTTTAACTAATTTTTAGCTTAACTAATTGAGTTGTTAATATAAGAACAGTAGATGTGATTTATTATTGTGCAAACCCCTCCTTGTTCGGATAAAACCTTGTTTTGTTTTTTTTTTTGAGACAAAGTCTCACTCTGTCCCCCAGGTTGGAGTGCAATGGTGTGATCTCGGCTCACTGCAACCTCTGCCTCCTGGGTTCAAGCGATTCCCCTGCCTCAGCCTCCCCAGTAGCTGGGACTATAGGCGCCTGCCATCATGCCTGGCTAATTTTTTGTATTTTAGTAGAGACAGGGTTTCACCATGTTGGTCATGGCTGGTCTCGAACTCCTGACCTTGTGATCTGCCCGCCTCAGCCTTCCAAAGTGCTGGGATTACAGGCGTGAGCCACTGCACCCGGTCCAAAACCTCTTGTTTTTTTGACCATTATATGGTTTATGCTCTGGCCCTGTTAGGGCCTCATACAACTGCTTAGCAATGAGCCCAAATCCTGGGATCCAAATTCTGTAAAATCCTGCCATATTCAGGAAACTTCTGAGTTTTTTTTGTTTGTTAAAGTTCTGTTTTTTAAGATAGTCTCTTTTTGTCTGATGGACAAGGTTCAGTATCCTGGGCTTAGGATGTACTCCAGATATTTTACTTTCAGCTTAGAAATCTGGGTCTTGGCCGGGCGCGGTGACTCAAGCCTGTAATCCCAGCACTTTGGGAGGCCGAGACAGGTGGACCACAAGGTCAGGAGATCGAGGCCATCCTGGCTAACATGGTGAAACCCCGTCTCTACTAAAAAATACAAAAAACTAGCTGGGCGAAGTGGCAGGTGCCTGTAGTCCCAGCTACTCGGGAGGCTGAGGCAGGAGAATGGCATAAACCCGGGAGGTGGAGCTTGCAGTGAGCCGAGATCCGGCCATAGCACTCCAGCCTGGGCGACAGAGCAAGACTCCGTCTCCAAAAAAAAAAAAAAAAAAAAAAAAAATCTGGGTCTTGAGGCTGGGCGCAGTCACCCACACCTGTAATCCCAGCACTTTGGGAGGCCAATGCCTGCGGCTCACCTGAGGTCAGGAGTTTGAGACCAGCCTGGCCAATATGGTGAAACCCTGTGTCTACTAAAAATACGAAAAATTAGCCTGGTGGGGTGGTGTGTGCCTATAGTCCCAGCTACTCCAGAGGCTGAGGTAGGAGAAATGCTTGAACAAGGGCAAGGGAGGTTCCAGTGGGCCCAGATCATATCACTGCACTCCAGCCTTGGTGACAGAGCGAGACTCTGTCTCAAAAAAAAAAAAGAGGCGGGGAGTGGTGGCTCACGCCTGTAATCACAGCACTTTGGGAGGCCGAGGCTGGTGGATCACCTGAGGTCAGGAGTTCAAGACCAGCCTGACCAACATGGTGATACCCTGTCTCTACTAAAAATGCAAAAAATTAACCAGGCATGATGGTGGGTGCCTATAATCCCAGCTGCCTGGGAGGCTGAGGTGGGAGAATTGCTTGAGTCCAAGAGTCAGAGGTTGCAGTGAGCTGAGATCGTGCTACTATACTCCAGCCTGGACGACAGAGTGAGACTCCATATAAAAAAAAAAAAGAGAAGAAAAAGAAAATTTTCCCAGTGATGTTTGTCCCTTTTGAGATTGTTTGGTTAAGTATATTTTGAATGTTTAACAAACAATATAAAGGCTAGAACCAGTTAGCTTGGTTTGAATCTCAGTTCTGTGATTTACTACCTATGTGGGCTCAGGCTAGTTAATTTATCTGTTTTCTCAATCATAAAAGGGTGACAAGAGTATAATAATATCTAGGCCAGGCACGGTGGCTCACGCCTGTAATCCCAGCACTTTGGGAGGTTGAGGAAGGTGGCTCACCTGAGGTCAGGAGTTCGAGACTAGCTTGGCCAACATGGTGAAACCCTATCTCTACTAAAAATACAAAATTAGCCAGGCATGGTGGTGCATGCCTGTAGTCCCAGCTATTCAGGAGGCTGAGGCAGGAGAATTGCTTGAACCCCGGAGGTGGAGGTTGCAGTGAACCGAGATCGCGCTGCTGCACTCCAGCCTGGACGCCAAAAGTGAAACTCCCTCTAAAAAGAAAAAAGAAAATTATATCACCCATTGTACAGGAATCTTGTGAAGATTACTTTTAAAATTATTTATTATTATTATTATCATGATTATTTATTTTTTGAGATAGAGTCTCACTCTGTGGCCCAGAGTGGAGTGCAGTGGCACCATATCGGCTCACTTCAACCTCCGCCTCCTGGGTACACGTGATTCTTATGCCTCAGCCTCCTAAGTAGCTGGGACTACAGGCATGCGCCACCATGCCTGGCTAATTTTTGTATTTTTAGTAGGATAGGTTTTCGCCATGTTGGCCAGGCTGGTCTCAAACTCCTGGCCTCAAATGATCTGCCTGCCTTGGCCTCCCAAAGTGCTAAGATTACAGGTGTGAGGCAACACACTCAGTCTATTGTGGCTAATTTTATTTTCCAAGTATTACACCATGATTTCAGTTCCACATGTTCTTCCAGAACACTCTCCTTAAATCTGGGTGGGTCTTGTGATGCATTTAATTAAGAGAATGCAGGGAAGTAAACCTGTGTGATTTCTAAGACTAGATTAGAAAAACCAGACAGCTTCTACCTAGTGCTTGATATCTCACTGCCCATCCCTTGCCACTCACCCCCACACTCTCCTCGGGAGTCCTGAGCTGACACATAGGAAATCTAGTTAACCTGAAGTAGCTGTGATAGAGAGACCACATAGAGGTAGAGATGCCAGGAGGACTACAACTGTTCTAGCCCTCAGCTGTTTGAGTGTCCCAGCCCAGGTATCACAGATATGAGCAAGAAAGCCTTCAGATGATTCTAGTGTCTAGCCTTTGAACTACTCTAGCTAAGGCCTAGTGGGGTTGGGCTTTGGGCAATGCCAGCTGACACAACAGGATGAAGAAAAGCTGCCCCTGCTGAAGCCTGCCCAAATAGCAGCAAAATTGTGTTGTAGTTTTAAGCCACTAGGTTGGGGGTTGTTATATAGCAACAGATGAGTAGAACAATTACAGACTAGCTATTTTATGGATTGTGGCTCAATTTGGGTTTGCCTAATGTTTATTCATGATTAAATTCAGGCTATGCATTTTAGGCAAGACACTACTAAGATAATACTGTGCACATCTCACTGCATCCATCAAGTGACACATGGTGTTGATTTATTCCATTACTCTTGATGTTAATTTTGATCCTTGAGTAAAGACATATCTTCATGTTTC